TGAAAAGGCTGAGCGTTAGCTTTGGGTGGAAAGATGCCACCTTTGTCATAATTTAAATATAATTCTAATAGCTTTTTGTTACTACTAGTAAGGCACCTGTTACTACTAGCGTGGCACTTGTTACTACTAGTAACAAGAAGCTACTAGCTGCACAGCATTGGCACGGCTGAATTTAAGGAGCACTGTTGGCTGAGCCAATGATTGGACTCATGGCGTTGATGACTGAACTAGTCCAGAGTCCAGACACTCTGATGGGTATTATGGCAGGTCTATATTTTTTTGAAGCTTCAGACTCGCGCTTTTGCCGAGGTCGTACCTAATATGAAAGAAAGCAGCTCCAAGTCTGCTGTGCCACCACCTGAAAGCAGCACGTCTGGGCACCAAGCCAAGTGTAGAAGCGGTTGACCACTGATCACACTGAGTGTCACTGGTTATCTGCATCCCTTTGCATGACGGTGCCTGTGGGGCCCTGAGAGCAGCAACAAACAAATCGGCACAAAGAACCTCATGTCCTTGGTCTTTGGGGTCCTTTTTTTACGGTCGGACGAGTTGCACGGACATTCAATCCCGACCGAACCAACACCGAAAACGAGAAAAAGACGCGCAAACCAACGAACCCCCGCACCGACCCGAACCAGACCGGCCTCGACCGAGGTCCGGTCGCAGCGGCAATCCCGTGACCTCGGCGCCCACGCCCGCAGCTCCGAGCGATCCGGAGAGAAAGTCGCAAAGTGGGGAGCTCAGGAGCTGTTGGCTTTTCTTTTGTGGGGTGTTTTGATTCTGCCTTTGGGGAACCAAACTCGAAGATAGCTGGGAAAACATCCAGATCAAGTGATTTTGGTGCAGAATTGGTTGTGTATGTTCCTCAATACATAGATGGATGCTCTTGGACTTCTTACTTTTCTTAGAACCAACAGTTTGTGGTGGAAACCAACCGCATGTCTCAAACTTGACCTTGTTTTCCAGAGAGTGTGTGGTGGAGCTTTTTCGGCCACGCTTCCAATGGTGGTATTGGTGGTATGCTGAACTTGCAGCCATGGCGCCAAAGTGTTTTTCTTTTTGTTCATAGGTGTTGTCACGGTGTTGTCTAGTATATGTATATATGTAAGTATCTTGGCGAAAGGGTGTGCAGACACTGTGTGCCATTGCCATAGCTGGGGAGCCGGAGGAAGGGGCAGTGGGCTTCAGAGACCTTTCAGTATACCGCTCTGTCTGAGGTGCATGCCGGTTGTACATGTAAAAGTGCTGAGAGGGTCGAACAGCTGGTAGGAGCCCTCCACACAAGCTGTAGAACAACAGCGGCCTTATTTACCACCTTTTTTTTTCACAGGATTTGATGTGGGAGACTTGCAGTGGGAAGAAGTCAGTTGCAATCACCTACTGACAATCACGAGCTGCGGTGGGAACGCTACTCTGTTGTGAGTGGGAACCCTACTCTGTTGCCTACTCTGTGAAGAACAGAAGCAGGCAGTAGCGGTGCGGTCCAAGTCGACAGTCGAGTCTGTCGTGTTTCGTGTGCCACCTTGAATCTCCAGAGGTTGGTGGCAGAGTGTGCCGCAGGACATTTGCTGCTTTTTTCCTGCCTCGCCTTCAGGTAGCGATGGATCACCCATTGCCAGAGCCTCATTTTTGCTGCACATTCCATGCACGGGGAAATGAAGAGAAAGGGTTAGACTCGGTTAGACACACTCTGTGAAGAACACAAGCCTTGTTCGGAGATGTGATCCTTGCAGCTTTTGCCTTAGCACATGTTGTTCATCCGTTTGTCGACTAGAGCCCAAAGCAGAACACTCGATAGCTTAGGATTTCCTGCGAATAGCTAGGCTATGCAAGCAGCTTCGATTCGACCGGAGGGATCAATACGGATCCCATTCCCAAGAGTCTCAAAGGGGTGGTGTTTAGGTGTTTAGTCCCATCCAGTGAGCGGATGTTCTTGGCACCCCTAAGCTCCTTGCTGGTCTTATGTTTTCTTTTGTAGCCAGAGTTGGGCCTGAAGGTGCCTGTCGATCAGACATTTTGAGTCTTTGGCACGCAAATCCAAAGGTCATGGGCAAGTACAAGATGGGCATGACAAAGCAGGAGTAGTGCCTAGCCGTTGCCGGTTCAGAGACCCTTTTGCACATCAAAGCTCAGTGGCAAGTAGCATTCTTGTCCATCTGTCCAAGACCTGCTTGGACATGAATTTTGCTACAGTAATAGTACGAATGACTCCAGTGTCAAGGTTGTCACCTGTTGGATACTATTGTCTATTGCCACGTATGGACAGCTTGTGACGCTACTGTCATTGTTTGGCCAGTTTTCAAGTGGCCCACCGAAGCCACACTGAAAGGACCTCATGGGTGAGGGCACTTCAAGCATATGTCGGAAGGGCGTATGCCTAGAGCGCTACCCTCAGTCCTAGCAGCTGAGAATGCGGTAAGCCAGAGATGATTGTCAAAGCACATGTGCAGGAGGCTTTTCAAACATTTCACAAGCTGGAGCGAATGTAAGGAACAGGTGTAGGACCTGCTCTCTGTGGAATCCGAGGACAAACCAAGAAGTCGCAATCAAGGTCTACAAGGCAAGCGGCAATGGAGCAGCTTGGGAAAATTGCAGATAGTTTTCCCGGTCTCATTGTCCGGCTCTGTCTCCCGGCCTCTCACCCCCCCCTTCACTCTTTGTGCCTCACGAGGCCCTGAAGGATTCACACAAAGGTGAAGATGTCAGACTGCAGAAGTTCCGCAGGCAAGAGACGTCCTTTCTGATGTGCCACTGATTTTTTGAGCGGAAGCAGATTGGCACCAATGCATGTAGGTTCATGCGCGCAAAACAAATTGCGCGGAAAACTTGGTCATTCTCATCTGCGTGGTACACGTGCATATCACCTGAGACTGCAACTTTGCTGCCCCGACTCAATGCATTTTTTCACTACACCAGGTTTTGTGCATGTCGTCGTGTCGCGAGGCAAATCAGTGTTTTGAAAATGCTTCAAGAGCCGTTTGACACAGTGCATGAGCCCCAGAGTGTCCTAAGACCATTCAGTCTCTTATGTCAGAAGGCTGAGCCCAGCATAAATTGCTGTTTGGAGATCATTTGGAACAGACAGAGTGATTGCACAGTGACTTGTAGTACCTGATGAGGGGCGTTCAGTCTTCTGCCGGGAGGCAAAACCGATGAAACCGCTCTGTGCACGTTCCATGCTCCGGTTCCACCGCGCTCAGGAGCGACGAAACTCTTTGGCATCCCCAACTGGCCGCGGTGCGAAGAATGTGAATGTGGAACTGTGCATGGCAGCCATTCCGAAATATACAATCTCTCAATGAACTTGACGACCTGGTGCTGAAGGGCCTTTGGTTTTACCGCCATCACTCCTAGATATGTACAAGAAGGCTTTCTTTACTACCTGTGGTGTTTTACGGAGACGTCAGTTTGATCAGACATGAGCGTGACAGTCGCAAATGATTCCTTTCGAGATACTGCGTTCCTCGATTTCCCCACGAGACACATACCCTGCACTTGTCCCTCCAGAATTCCAGGTACTGCACTTGTAGCATCCGATATTATCCCCTTGATGGATGGCAGCGCAGTGTGTCCAGCCTCCGTCCGCGCACGTTTTCCGACCCCTCACGTGAGACGGCGCCAGACCAAGCCTTCCAAGCTCTTCATGACCCTGTTGGACTACTCCACTGACAGCAGCCCCTCGACAGAAAGAAACTGCTATTCGAAGCAGCTGAGTTGGTCGTGCTGGTTGATTTGTTCGAAACAGCTCTTGTTCTGCATTCTCGCAGAATGCAAAGCTGGCTGTAGGTGGAAACCCTGCTCCAGATCCCATAGCCCGGAGCTAAGAATTGCGAAGAAAACAGGAGATGAAAGGTTCCTGGTTAGAAAGTCTTTGGCCTTCAAAGATGCAAAACCTGCAGTTTGAGCCGAAACCTCCATACCTAGGAGCTAGGAGGAAAAAGCCTGATTGACACATATTGAAACTGTTTCACACTTGAACCTTGGCCAAAGTGTTTGGGTTCAGACGCTGATTTTTGCTCTTGTTTTGCACAAGAAAAAACACAGGATGGTGTGATGTATGTGGTGACGGAGCTGGCACAGCTGAGTTCTCAGATGCACAAAAAACAAGCCGGTTCTCGGCGATGCAGAGCACTTCAGCTTTTTCATTCCTTTTTCGGCTTGCACCGCACCAAGCTGACTCACCTCGGTGCCCAGGTATAGTCTGAAGGACTATCTGGCCTTGAGAAGAGACCAAGGAAAAAGTCTGTCGCGCGGCCCTCAGATTTCATTTCTTTTGTCCACAAAAGCCCAGACGTTTCCCGCCGGAGTGCCGCTTTCGTTGGTCGTTTGAAGCAGCGCGGCAGTTCAAAAGGTGGGAACACGCCATGGCACTGAGGCGAGGAGCTGTGAAGAATATCAGCAAGGCCAGTTCATGAGCTAAGTTGGAGGCCATCGCTAGTAGACTGGAGGCCGTCGCTAGTAGGTTGGAGGCCATCGCTAGTAGATTTGAGGCCATCGCTTGTAGATTTGAGGCCATCGCTAGTAGGTTGGAGGCTCAAGAAAAGGGCCAATTGGATCCTTCAAACAGAGCTTGCAGAGCTTGTTGCCAGGCCATCATCTCGGTGGTCGCCGTATTACTAACCAAGGGGTCCACAATCTTAATTGCAACGTTACGTTGTAGATGTGGGTGTGTATTTTACTTTTGATACACACCCACGTTGCTGTCTCGAATTGAAGGTCCCTAGACGTTCATTGTTTTGAATTGAGGCTAGTCCATTTGGATCTGAAGCCAGAGAACCTCATGATGTTCAATGGCCGCTCTGAACGCGTTTTGCCGAACGAATCACGATCTTTCAACGATCCGGATGGCTGGCTTGTACAGTACGGTTTGATACCGGCATGCTTTGTTGTGACTTCTCAAATTTGGCAATGGTCCCTGGCACAATATGTCAATATCAGCTACACATCTCCTTTCTTGCGCGAAGAACTGAACTCAAGATCGGTGGTGTTTTTCAAGGATTCCACCATGGCAAACCTGAGTATAGGATAGTATAAGTAACTGGCATGGACTGGCAATGTTTCAGTTGAAACCATCGGTCATGCTAGGTTAGGTTGGAGGCCATCGCTCTTAGGGTGGAGACCATCGCGACGTTCTTGTGATGCCAGGCCGCTTGAAGCTCATTGACGTGGATGGCTGTGTCCCCTCGGGCAGTGAAGTCTCGATCCAGGCAGTCTTCGTGGCGAACCACCCTGGTAGTCTTCGTGGCACTCCTGAAGTGTAAGATTCTTTTCACCCTGGGACCTCCATTTTCATTCTTTTGCCTGCACACATGTTTATATAATTACATGTTATATATACACACATGATTATTTGCATCATATATATATGAAGAGTCTTAGAGACAGGAATGAAAAGCGGAAATGATATGTGGCCGTGACTCGCTCAAGTCAATCGTGGCTCAAGTCAATCGGTGGGTGAGGGTTCATGGAGGCCTGGGTGGCCTTTGCTCTCGGTGGCGCGTTCTCCGTGGGCATTTCGTTGGAGTGGCAGTTGAAGACGCTGTGGCCTGACGAGCCTGGGATTCCGATCTGCCATTGCGGTTGTCAGTGTAGTTGTGACCTGGGATTTTTGGGTGCCCTGCTGACCTTTGTGTGCATTGTGTTGGTGTTGGGTGTTGGAGTGTTGAGCATTGTTTTTTGGTTCTGGCGACAGTCAGTTCGAGAAGTGGTTGATACACCCCGTTCACCTGCAAAGGGTAAGAAAGGAGTTTTTGGATCCACTGGGAAGCTTAGCTTGACAGGTTGATTCATTGACGAAGATTGCCCTCCATGCAATCCGGACACCTAGCATTGGTCAACTACGGAGAGGTGCCCTTATGCTGGCACACACGGCTTTTGTTAGCCCCGGTTCACAACAATGAATGGGTCATTTTGACCCCTGACCATGACCGTTACATAGAGCAGCTTGATTTGTACAACACAGACTATGTTGATTTCGAGTTCTTTGGACCTTCACAAGACATCCCAGCACGAATTCCTGGGGCATCGGTTTATGGGTTCAGGCCCTTACTTCCAGGTGATCTTGCTAATCATATGAGGCACGCTCAGCTGGAGGCACAAGCTGAACGCATTGCTCGAGGGTTGGGTCCGGCCCCGCCTGCTGGTGCACCAGCCCCCGTCCCCCCAGCCGGGGCTCCGCCTGCGCCGCCACCACCTCCGGGTGTTCTTGGAGGAGGTGCAGGAGGGCATGCCGGGGGCGGAGGTGGTGCTCCTCCTGTGCCTGGAGTTTTTTGTTGGGTGGCCATCGAGGCCGCCGGAGGACGAACAAAGGGTGAGATAGTATGCACAGAGCCAACCCCCTTGCCTGCTGGACATGTTCGAATTGGTGATCGAGCAGTGATTCCTGATTTGTCTGGCCGAGTCGAGGGATGCTTCGTGAAGAGGGTCCCACAGGGTGACGCTCCTGGCTATGCATTGGATGATCTCCGGACCCTTCCAGTAGTTTTTGACGGTCAAGGTGTTCGACGCCGTGAATTTGCAGCAGCCATTCCCTCCATGGTGGAGGGCACCCCACAGGGTGGAGGATTACAATTGGACGGACCTGCAACAGCATTGAATATTGCCAAGAGTTTGCGGGAACAAGCCATGACACCGACTTCATACCATGAGTTTTGGTTGAGGACAGCAGAGATCCCTCGGGGCGACAGGAGCGTGTACGAGCACGAGTGCCTCAGCCGGATTTTTGAGAGTATGGTGTGCATAGACCAGTTGAATCCAAGTGGGCTCCAATCCATGGAGTTGATAGTGCGTCGAATGCAGGTGATCAGAGAAGCTCATCGCCTCATTTCATGGGCTGGCGGTTCAAGAAGCAGGCTCATGGAGTTGATTCAAGTCTGGCTGCACACGTGGCTGGAGAGTTGAAGAATGAAGCCGCCATATCGAAGGAGGCTCGCAAAGCACGCGAAGAAGCTCAAGCACGTTCCAACCGCCGCAACCCCTCTGGCAAGAAGCAGGGGGAAGGCGGTGAGGCCAAATGAGGATGAGCTCACCGGGCTGGGGTGCAGCGACCTGGTCTGGCGCGGTGGATGACGCTGCAAGACCCGTGATGGGTCACAATTTTGTTGGAGGCGGGCAGGAATCTGAAGATCGATGGCGTGAACTTTTTCCTCTACCCCCGTCCTCAGTTCCTCCCTATCCCACAGGTGGCTCCACATCTCAGCGAAGGAGACACTACAGGCTGAAGGCCCGGGTGCAGGAGGCTAATGCGATCTCTGAATGTCTGAACGAGATGTTTGGTTCAAAACAGAGTTTTTCCAATTTTTGCACTACAAGTCAAAAGGAAAGTCAGCACAGGATTTTTCAGCAATTTTGCCGAGTGCCTAAACCAACACAGTACTGTAGTGAGCGTGAGGCTGTCAAGGAGCTTCTGCAAACACAGTCCGACTACGATGGGGGGTCGGCGATGACAACTGTTCGTCCTTACGTGAGAGACCTGGTTTCACTTCCGGAAATGGGGGCACACTTGGTGCCTTTGTCCCAGGTGATGGACCCGATCGGTCGAGAAGTCGTTGGGGACGCCTTGAATCGAATGTTGGTGGATGAGGAGACATGGGGGCAGATCGCAGAGAAACATGCGGGTTTTAGGCCATACATGGATGCCGTGTTGCAAAACAATCCAAAGCAGTATGAATTGTTTGTCAAAGACCTGTTGGACAAGAACATGATTGATTTCACTAGCAAGCCAAAGGATCTCATTGCGCCGTTTTTTGTGCAGAAAAAGAATGGTAAGTTGAGGCTGGTGTTGGATTGCAGGGGCACCAATCAGCGTTTCAAACCACCGCCAGCAATGGCACTTTCTGCGGGGGCAACTTGGAGTTCAGTGCGGATTCCAAAAGGGCAAGAACTACATGTCGCTCAATCCGACATCCGTGACTACTTCTACTCCTTAGAGTTACCCGCCGTTCTGAGAGATCTTTTCTGCCTGCCGGCCATCCGGGGAGACTGCCTGAAGGAGTGGAAGCTCACCGGAGAAGTCGGGAGTATGGTCAACTCCGAAGGCCTGACTTTTCCGAGACTGAGGGCGGTGCCAATGGGGTGGAGTTGGGCAATGTGGATCAGTCAAAGAGTTCATCAGTTCATTGCACTTCAATCCTCAGGTTTGGGTACAGATGATTTACTTGTGGAGGGACGTCCGTGCCCTGATCTGAGTTCCGGTCGATGTGCACTCATTGTTTATGCGGACAATCTCAATGTGCTGGGTACAAATGCCAGAGCCGTGCAGGCCACAAAGGACTCCATCGTGAAAGAACTGCGAGAGACAGGCTTCAGAGTTCACGAGGAGACCGAGGCTTGCACTATGTCGCAATCACTTGGTTTCCAAATAGATGGAGCGGCAGGGATCATTTCCCCTATTCCAGAGAGACTGGACAAGATTGTAAAATCATTTGGTTGGCTTGCTAAGAGACCGAAGGTGTCCGGAAAAGCCATCGAGAGGCTCTTGGGACACGCAATACACATTTGTCTATTGAGACGTGAGTTGTTATCCATTTTTAGGAGCCTTTATGATTTTGCGTACACACACTACAACAAGAAGAAGCGACTGTGGACATCTGCTGCTAGGGAAGCGAAATGGTGTTCTCATCTTCTTTTTCTTTGTACGGTCGACATGCATAAAGACTGGTCTAGCGATGTCACCGCTTCAGACGCTTCGTTATCGGGCATAGCTGTCTGTCGGAGGCCTTTGGATCGTGAGTGGCAAGCTGAGATTGGTAGTTTAAAGGAGATTTGGCGGTACAAGTCGTGCGTGCCAGCGGCCCCCCGGGAAGCAGCCCTGGGAGCGACAAAACTCGACCCTTTTTCCGAGCCAGCCACAGCAAAACCAATCTTGACTCCGCCTGTTGAGGATCCTTTTGAATTGGATGTCAATTTTAAAGAAGTTGACCCTAGTTTTTTGTGTGAAGACGATTGTCATGAATGTTTTGCAGTGCACATGCAGCATCCCGAACACATCACATTGTTGGAGGGCAGAGGAGTCATAGCATCGCTTCGACACAAGTTTAGGTCGGTTGGAGAGTTTGGTCGTGCCCACCTTCATTTTTGTGACAATATGTCTATGACTTTGACGCTCTCAAAAGGTAGGTCGGCCCAATATAGCATGCTCCGGATATGCCGAAGGGTGGCATGTTTGCTTTTGGCCACTGATTCGTTTCTGGCCGTGCGGTGGATCCCAAGTGAGAGGAACATAGCAGATGGTCCATCCAGGCGCTGGGAGCGAGACAGAAAGCTGAATGCTGCGAGCAGAGAGCATCTGCGCAAAAGACAAGAAGAAGTCGACGAAAGATGCTACCCAAAAGCGTCCGACATCGCTGGCAGGGCCAAAGGACTCCGTGCTTTCGATTCTCTTGCCCGTCGAGGCGAACAGACCCTCAAGATGTCAACGGAAGAGGAAAGCGAAAGAGGCCTTTCCAGTGACCATAGAGGAGAAACAGCAGACTCGGGTTCAGAAGCTGTCCACTCGGGACGATCCCCCTCGTTTCAGGGGTCAGACGCCTCTGGAGAAGGTTGCGGTTTCCAAGCCGGTAGCCATAGATTACACGCGAAGGGTGATGGAGCTCAAAGCGTTTGCAAAGAAAAAGAACTTCAAACTGAATCGAAAAGACAACTTCGACTTGGTTTGTTGCAAATTTGTGAACAACATGTTCGAGCTCGGCTTCGACCTGCAAGACGGAACCAAGACATTGGCAGCCATCATCGATGCATTTCCAGCCTTTTCCCCCAAACAGTGCATGCCGAGGACCCGGAGAGCATTGCAGGGATGGGCAAAACTGGAACCACAGAGGACACGGCCTCCAATTCCATGGCCACTCATAGCAAGCATGTGCATGGAGCTGCTGCGAGTATCAGAACTGGCCGTGGTCGGGGCCATCCTCCTGATGTTCACGGCCTACTTGAGGCCGGGCGAAGCGCTGGATCTCCAAAGATCCGATCTAGTGCGGCCCCTTCCCGGAAGTCAACACTTCTCCCTACTGCTACACCCGGCAGAGAGGATGCAGCAGTCCAAAGTGGGACTTTCCGACGAATCGTTGATGCTGGACTCGCCAATGTTTCCATGGCTGGGACAAGGGCTAGAGGCTATAGCTACTCATCCGGTCTTTCTTCTCGATGTCACCTACGACCACCTGGTGACCAAGTGGAAATGGGCACAAAACAAGCTGGGCTTGGAGCCCAA